TGGGAAGATATTTAGCTGCATTCATGTTTGCAAACATAGAATTTCCATTCGCTGCTTATAGACCATTTACCATAAGGTCTCGATAGCTACTTCCAGCAGCTATTTGAATTTCAGAAAGTCAAGCTCCATAATATATTCATGAAGGTTGCATTAAGAGTTAAAAGGGAGGTGATTTCAAACATGGTATCTTTGGAAATGGCATCTGTGGAATGTATTTGAAAAGAAGCCCTCCAGTGTTTTGGACTGAGTGGAGGAAAAGATACAGCTTTGTGCCTGGTGTTGATGCCATATGTTTCTGCAAGACGTGCATAAATTAAACTTTGTTAACCTCATTATCTTCATCAAAGTAGGATGGAACATTTTGTTGGATTCAGTGTTTATTCTGTCTTTCCAGTTGGTCATATTTTTAGCATTTCATTTGCTTGGTTCCAAAAACATCCACTATTCTCTCTGATATTGCCTCATTATTACTCATTATCAACTATTTATATTGTTTAGACTAAATATAGAAGGGAAATATGTTAAATTTCTCCTTGTACTGCAGTTATTCAGAAAAAGTGCTGTAACCCACAAGAACATTTTTTATATGATTGGACGTTTTGACAAATGTAGAGTTGGTAACATTGGAATGTATAGTTATGCTTCTTGATTATGAGTTATAAATTAAAAAATGTTGATGCTGTAAATGGAGATATTCTTGGTGTTTTGCTGTGATGCTTTGTCATCATCTAGTGGACATTAGGGAGAACATAAGTTGTGAACCTTTCTATTGCTCAGTAATGTTTATAATGTCTTTCACAACTCATTGTATTCTTCTTGGCTTTTTGTGAGATGCTAAGCATAAAAAAAGTAGATATTTCAACAAAAAAAAAGGGTTTCTAGTGAAAACAATTGAGATTAATCAGCTGCTTTAAAGGCTTTTGAAAATATCTACTTAGTTGATAGTAAAATTATATTTTTATTCACGCTACATAACTGATTGTATAGGAAATGTTTTTTTATACATTTCATACAGAAAGCTTCATGAAGCACTGGGGTTCAATTGTTTCACTGAGTACATGTACAGTCAATTTGACTGTTATCCAATCAGCAAACAAATTAAAAACTAAAAAGATTATTAAAAGGTATGAGGATAAATTGGTGTGTGGTATTGCTGCCATTTTACCACCAGAAGAAAACACCCAGTAAAACTCAAACCCAGGGCTGTTCGAAGTAGGAAAAAAAGCCAATCCTAACAATGAAATACATTTTTTTAAAAACTGAGAAGGTGTGTGTGTTTTTGTAAGATCAAGCAAATGATATGCAATCAAATGGTGTAACAGCATCTTAGGTCTAAAAATGCAGGGATTTTGAGCAGATCATGATTCATGAGCCAACTAGACTCCAAATAGAGGCTCCAACAAAACAACAGATCCTCTTGACATGTCAGTAACGAGAAAGATGAAGTCCAGCTCCTCTTTATTTAGGGAATAAAAACAATCCATGTTAACATACAAATAGTGAATTGATTTCATTTCAATTTCTTTTTATGAACACTTTAGCTTGCAATATTGATGCATTATTATTTTAAATGACAAGTTGCAACTTTGCATTTGTTTGCTGAAATATTGCAGCTGCATAATAGAAAACCTTGTTTGTGTTTGATTATGTACTGCAGTTAAAATTGTAGTTAAAACCTGCGACCACCAGTGTTCCAATGTTGCCATCTAGTGGATAATATATGAAGGAGTTTGTTTCATTTTGGCCAAACCTGCGTACCTCAACTTGAATGATTAAAATTATTGAAACTATAATGCCATTGAGTAAGACAGCCTCAACAAATGCTTTTTCAGACTGTTGCTTCATTTTACATAAATCCAGCATTTCTTATTACTTTAGGAAATATTGTGGCAGTTTTAGAAGTTTCAGTATGTTGTCTTACTTTGAGCATTTTGTGAGTTGAGTATTTCATACATCAAAAGTGTTTTGGTTTGGATAATAAACTCTGCTTGATACAGTTTACTGTGCCTGGAACAACATTGGTGATGTGTTGCACAGCTTTTCTGAGAGACTTGAAGCCAAACTCTTTCTGTGTGATGTGGGAGGAGAATCCTTTCAATTGTGTCTAATCTTCTTTTCTTCTGCTTGGCCAGATCAGGACTTGTGGCAAACTGCTAAATCTAATTAGCTTAAATTAGCATGACCTGACCTGGTCTTCAGGTCGTTGCTTTTTATTTATTTATTTATTTTTTTAACCAAATGTAGGCTTTTGATTTTATTTAGTTCTGCAAGAAAATTTACAGTCATGCATGTACTTCTTAGTTATGTATTTATTTACTTAATTATTATTATGTTGCTTAGTGATATAAATTATTTGATATAAAGTGACTTATGAAATGCCTTTTTCACTTTCTGATGCCAAAACAGTTACTACACTATCATACTTTTTCACTAATGCTCCTGAAGAGTTAGTGAATAACTAAACATAGACACATGATAGGTTCTGTACTTGAAGAACCCCCAAACAATGTCCTAGTTTCTACTTAAGCCAAATGGTAATTTATCCTACTTACTATGAGGATTTTTTCATCCATCCATTTACTCTACGTACTTAATCTCTGTGGTTACAGTGCCAAGCTTCAGCAGCCATTGAGTGAGAGGCAAGGTACACTCAGGACACATCACCAGTCCAACACAGGGCAAAACACACTAAACAAACAACTACACACACACACGCACACAACCACACACACACACACACACACAACACACACACACCCACACACACACACACACTGCACACACACACACACACACACACACACACACACACACACACCCCCACACACACACACACACACACACACACACACACACTGCACACACACACACCCACACACACATACACACACTGCACACACCCACACACACACACACACACACCCACACACACACACACACACACATACACTCCTAAGAGCAGCTCACAGTGGCCAATTAATATAAAATACATTTTTTAAATTGTGGGAAGAAGCAAGAATACATGGAAAGAATCGACGCCTGCAAGGATGGATATGCATGCATCCATGTGTTGTCAATAAGCTTCTGTAACATTATGGCATGTCCAAAAAATATTGCAGTTGTTTCAGTTAGATGTGTTGGAGAATAGACACATAAAATTTGCAGGATAGTGGAAACTAAAGAACATAGGTATTTGAACCTCTTAATAGAGACCAGAAATGTGTTTTTTTTAAATGCCATCAGTAGCGTAGTTTGCTTTCTGACAACATATAATCTGTTACTTAAATAATAAATCTGAGACACTGAAATAAATTCTGGATTAACTGAAGCATTAGCATTTCAGCTTCTCGTAGGGTTTTCCTTTATACCTGCAGCACTGAAGAGATAAGGCATGCTCTTTCACTTGAGGAGTGCTAACAGCATTTTTTGACAATTCCTCAAAGTCTTTCTACCAGAAATAATTCATAATAAAGAAAAAAAACACATTTTTGCAGAGTTTTAAGTTAAAAGTAATAAAATTGCAAATTTCATATAAAGGTATTTTCTATTCTTTACAACTATGTGACTAGTTAGGACAAAATCAAAAACAAGTATCCCTGGGGATCATTTACAGAACTTTGCAGGAACCCCACATCCCACCACTGACTGGGAAGATGTGCTGACAAAGTGAAAATACGTCAAGTGAAAACTGAACCTCCCCTTCAGTACATCATTACAACATTGATTAGTGACATTTAAGAGCACTTAAGAGCATTGTCGCTCCTATGAAAAGCCCAGCAGATGCACAGGTCCACAAAATTCTGATTACAGCAGACATCAGCTGATGTCTGGATTTTACTGATGTCTGCTGTAATCAGAATTTTTTAATAGATATTTGCTAATTGGCATCTTTTACTGAAGGGCTTGGTTTGCATTTGCTTAAAGAAAATCCTTCCACCTATCCCCTGTATGTACCCTCTTGTTCCTGTTGAATGATGTGGGGGCTGGTGCTGAGTGGGCACACAGGACAAACAACCATGAAGACACACAGTCACACATAAGGGCTTTTTGAAGAGATTAACCTGACAGTTGTGTTCTTGAACTGGAAAGTCCATGTATGCAAAGAGAGAACATGCAAACTTCATGCAGCAATACCCCAGAAAGGGGTATTGCTGAATATATTTATATACCTATTAAATAAACATTTGCCATCTATCAGATATGACCAAAGTGAAAAATTCTTGTAGTCATAACGAGTAGTTTCTCATAGCACAGATACTGACTATCTAAGTTTAAGTTTGAGAGCTTGATAAAATGATTCCCTATTAGCCTTACCTTGAGCATTTCAGCCTCTTAGCTACAGAAAGAGAGAGAGGCGACACTGAGACAGATTAAGGGCATAAACAGATTTAGGCAGAAGCCATTCTGATGATACCATTAGCTCAGAAATGATTCAGAAAGAAAGTAAGTAAAAAGATATATTTTTTTTATTTGTCATGATGTTTTGAAAACAATAACAACTGCAACCGTAACACTACTAATACTACTACTAATAATAATAATGATGATGATGATCTTGGAATATAAACTATTTTGAACTGTAAATGTCATTCATTTTGGATAGTTTTCATTTTTACCTAAAGGTTTGAAAGGAGAACATTTTTTTTAATTATTAAATAATCCATTCTATGAATTTTCTGATCAAATCTAGAGGTTCTAGTCAGATGTACACCCTTCAGAAAAAATTATGGTTCACATTTATATGGCAATCCATACTTAATTTATTTTTACTTGATAAATGTGTAAAATTTTCTGACATCAAGTACTAGTTACTGTCATTTGGTCCACCCCACTGATGGGAAACCCGACCGGCATACAGTATTTTGTCACTAATCCTAAGGCAGCAATAATCACCTGGCTCATGTACAAACTGGAGGATTCCGCAAGAGGATTCCCAAGGCTTATACAAAAAAAACCCACCCAGGATCGAGAGATGTCCATTTCAAGTTAGGTCTCTTGCTGCCAACTGCCTGATTATGGACTGTTGCATTTAGAGATGGGGCAGACTCAACAAACTGGGAGTTGTGAGGAGATTGATGTTAAAGCTCTTCAGGATATGTATAAAAAATTTGTCCTGGAATGCCCTAGTGGAGTTCTTTTTCTGCATGAGTTTAAACGTTTCTTTGGAGTGGACCCAACAGGGGAAGCATCTGATTATGCGGAGAACATGTTCCGGGCCTTTGACAAGAATGGGGTAAGAAATGAAACCAACTTCCTTTTCTTCCTATCAGTTAAAGTATCAAAATCTAAGGCAAACCTCCTCTTTTAACTTATCTTTTATAGGACAATACAATTGATTTTCTTGAGTTTGTGGCAGCACTGAATCTGGTTTTCCGGGGAGACCTGGAGCATAAACTACGCTGGTCATTCAAAGTGTATGACAAAGACGGCAATGGCTACGTGGACAGGAATGAGCTGCGCTCTATCGTTGATGTAAGTCTGATCAAATATTCTACCTGTGTTATGTCATTTTATTATTGTATTTCTACATTACTTTGTTACATATTTGATGAAAAATATTTGAGCACACTTTTTCTATGATCACATGAATTAGTCTCATTTGATTAAAAATGCAATATTAACTTCTATACTACTAATTTAGAAACTACTGCCTCATGAGATTATGGAAAAAAATGTTTGTAAACAAAGCTTTATTCCATGATTTAACTTATTTTATTTGAAACAGAAAACCAAACGTTAGTGTATGACTTCTGCTAAAAATTTCAGCATCCTTATTAGGCAACACAAACATAGAAACTGATTGCACTGGTTAATTAGTAAATATACAAGCTCAGATAACCAGCTTGCAATCAGCTGCTTTACAGACATGCCACTCGTAGCTTAAATATTCTCATCCTAAAGCGGCTTTACCTTAATACGGATGATGGCTGACTCTCTTTTAGTTTTCACACCATGACTGTCACTGATCTTTACAACTGAATTTTTCCAAGGTTTAAAATCTCTTTTTCTATGAAGACAGGTACAAAGTGTTGTATGCTTTACACAGCCAGCTTAGTGACAGCAAGCAGCAAGATGTTGGGGGAAGGGGACAGTGATGTGTCATGCTGTAAAATGGACACAGTTCTGACATGATAACAGTTACTAGCTCATTCATATTAATGGAAATGCTTTGGTCTGTACTGATTCATATTCTACTTAATACGAATCAGTATTTATCAGGTGGGAGTCAAGCTAATAACTGAGCAGAACAAGAGCTTAAAAGATATTATTCATTTTATATACAATATCCTAAACCCAATATTTTCTTGGGAATTTAAGTGAACTTGCCTGATTATTATTTCATTTAGTCACCAAGCCCCGGAGCTCAATTCCCCTCTGTCCTGTATGTTTTAGGTGTCTCCTTTCTGCCACACTCCTGGCTGAAATAACTGGGAGATCAACAGGCTTTAGAAGCACTTGATGGCATGCAGAGGAGGTCATGCATTATCATTTGAATCTGATGTGCAGGAACAGAAACAGGTCTGAAACATGTAGGTCAACTGGGCGGTCTCAGGACCAGGATTGTTGCTGTTGCCATCCATAATTACTAGTGTGGCTGCGGATCGATAAAACCTGCAGCTCAAGTGTGCCTCCCAGGGTGTGTTTATGATGATAGCCTCAGCTCATCAGAAAATCACATTTTATTATATCTTTGTGGCTAGATTGGAATTACAACAAAACGGCTCTCTTTGACTTTTGCTATAGAATGCATTGAATGTTTACCCGATTAATTAAGAGATGAATGTTCTGAAACCATTTATTACTTTTGCGTTCCAGCTGCTAACATTGCAGGAAATTATCTAAATATATTGTCTGCAGTTTCATGTTCTCTTTACTATTATTCCAGAGTATCTATCGGATCAAAAAGTGCTCAAAGAAAGACATGAGCGAGACACAACTTTCAGTTGATGAGGTTGTGGAACGAATATTAGATGCTGTTGACTTTGACCGAGACGGTGAGAAAAACAGTGTTGCAATATAGTAGGAAAAGTACAAGAAAAAGGTAACATTTAACACATCTCTGTTTGCTTTCACAGGTCACATTACTTTGGAAGAGTTTATTAGAGGTGCACAGGAAGATCCATGGGTACTAAACATGTTGAAGTTGGACATGAATCCGGCTGGATGGGTTATGGACAACAGACGGAAGAGTGCACATTTCTGATGCGTCAAGTTTGCCTTTGCTGTGAAAATATATACAGTCATGGTGGCAGAAATACAGCAGACATTTTTTTTTCATTCACACATCTGTGCCATTTATGAACATGCAGTATCAAATTCACAAATTGAAAACATATTGTTTTCGATCAGTATAATTAACATTAACCACAATTTGTTTTTTGGCACTATACAAACCCATTACAACAATTGTAACTAAGAAGAATATTCTTAAAAAATGGCTGCTTATTGGTTTTTGTACATGACTCTATAGTGTTACAACTGCTCTTATGTTTCATTATGCTGACTTAAAATATTAATTTATGTTTAGCTTTTTTCAATGGGCCATTTCACTCAAACCAACAACCTACAAAGCTTAATTAAAAATAACTTTCTTTTGGCTTTTTGCAAATATCATTTTCTGCTGTATCAGCAATTTAACTGCTTAGTTATATTACTCAGATCTCTAAGAATTGTTTCATTTAAGGATAAATAATAAGTATATAATGTTGGCATAATATTTTTCACTATAGATGATATTTTACTGCTGCTAAATGCTCTTTTTTAAGACCTGTTCAAAATAGTGCTTTGTCTTGTTTTCTGGCTGTTTTAAAAGAATACTTTTTATTACTTTAGAATTGCCTGAAATTTGTTTTGCTATCAGTTACACAGTTGTCCACATCAACCAAATGCTTTTTGGAACCTTCATCATTGTCACCATACAGCTATGTCTTTAAAATGTAAGCATAGAACCTACTGTACACAGATCAGTTTATGCCGTTTTGCTGCTGAGCAATCCCATATCTGTTTTCTGTCCCTATTCATATTGTGTTCCAGATTTACTTTTTTTTGGTGTCTCCTACTTTCAAGTGCATACATGAATAAGCTGTCTGTGCCTTTTCAATTGCTATTAATTGTAAATACATCTGCTTAGGTTGCTGAATAAATTAAAACTCAACATATCTTTCTGTCTGTTTTGCAGTGGTTGTATCAAGACTGTTGTATCATAGGCAAATACAAAACTATAAGTCTAACCAAACAAAGAATAAAAACTATTTTATCAAAGTAATGTGCCACTTCATTAAGTAATCACATAAATTGCATAAGAGACAACAAGGTGAAAACAAGAAACCAGGTTTGTGGATTACAGCATTAAAATTAGTCTGCTAAAGTCTTTAGCTAAGAATAAGCTTCTTTGTTGAGGTCAAACTTTGCATGAATCAATAGGCTCACTTAGATTATGATCCTCAAACAATTAGAAAGACAATGAACAGACAAAATTAAGTGGGCACATTTTACTATTTATTATAGTAGGCTGTCTTTAGGTTTTTTGTTATGAAAAGACAAAGAATTTGAACAATTGAGACATAAAAAGGGATAGGGGACATAATGTTTCCCTAATTGTAACCCTTGCTTGCAGGGATACAATCAGCATAGGTAAATGGTTAGAAAAGGCTTCTTTTTTTTCTCAACAATGAATTATGCAGGGAATGCTAATAGAGCATGGATCCAATTATCTGTCATTCAGCTGCAAAGATTTAAGACACAGGATCAAATTGTAGGTTCATTCCTAAATATTTCATCACTTTGTATAAGCCTATTGTGTGTGACTTTTTGTGGTATTTTTTGTAATACATAAACTGTTTTTGTCCTTATTACTCTGATCTTCCCTTAGAAGTGGATGAGAAAATGTTTTATTAAGTGGGAGGTTCATAAAAAAAGGTTGAAAAAAATCACATGTATGGCCACAATACAGCAGAATTGACTGTAGACACAAAACAATGAATAAACTGCTTTACACATGCATATTTTGTTAGGTTGTGATGCAAAGTAAGATAACTTTTCAATGTTAATCCTTTCATCAGACTGTTTCACAGCAGAACTTAATTCACATACAGCTAAAAACAACCCTTCAAAAAGTCTTCCATCACATCAATAATCATTTAATAAATATGGAAGCATAAAATGCAGTATTGGAAAATTGTGGTAGATACATTATAATTTTTGATTTAAAACAATTCTGACAAAGTCAGCTGACCTAAAGCAACAGTTTTTTGAGATACCTGACATGGGTTGAAATTTTATTTCAGCTCTACTTCAGTTTTTTTTATTAAATCATTATTTCACAGAGCTTTGAAGTCTTGGGATCACTTGAAATGCACTTATCTTACATTTCTCAGTCCAGACAGCAGCAGAACCACAAATTTAAAAAATACCAGAAACCATTTCTTTTTCAAATGCTGACCTCTAGTGGATATGTTATAAAACGATACAATTCTTGTTATATTAATGTTTCTTCATCTTATTTTTTATTTTTTATTTTTTGCTTTCCCTGTTTTAATTACAGTTTTTATAATGAGTCAGTGTAACACTACATGATTTCTAAATGAGTGTAAAACTGTAATTGTATAAGGATGCATTTCATACCTAATTTTCTTAGTGTGGCGTTCACCTGGATCTTTGTAAATGCAACAAGAAAATAGCTTAGTTCCTGTATTGTAGGAATCTTCTTAATTTAAATTCTGTCTCAAAAATAAGACTTATTCAAAGAAGCATGAGCAGATTATTTTTCATTTCTATAAGCCTTCTTTTTGTCACAATTTCACTACTACAACACAAACTTTATGGAGTTACTGGTTTCATTTTCCAGCAGAGCTTGGCAACCTTCTACAGCTAAAGGGATCTGATTTAGTGACCATAGTATCATTTTGCTTGGTTGACTTGCAAACTGATAGCACCTAAACCCAAAAGAAATTCTATGTGGTATTGTCAATGTTAATTTATTAAGTCACATAATCCATAATCCACACACCAGTGGACCAAAATAGTGCCAAGTGTAACTGAAACACATCAGAAACAACAGTGAAAACAGAGTACAGTATCTTAGGTTGCTTTAATACCTAAGCAGCACTACACAGGCTGATCATAACATGTGACACGATTAGTGCAAAAAGATTCCCAGCCCATTCCCAGGATTAAAGATTGTATCATTTATGGGTATTCCTGTCAGCAAGTTGACTTTTTAGTCTTTTTTAGTGATCTTTTCTAATATTGAGAGAAACTAAATATTATGTCTCAAACCCTGAAAAAAGTAATCAAGACAAACACTTTGTTTTCAAAATACTCCACTTTGGATGTAATGAAGCTCTAGTTTTACTTTTGACTGAATGAATGAAATAAATTAACTTTTAAGTTAGATTGTTTTCTTGTAAATTAAGAGATTTCGAGTTTTTGCTCAAGTTAGTGCTTATTAACATGACCTGCAGGCTGCCTTGTTTAACAAATAATGCTCGTTTTAAATGTTTTGTAGGTTGAAATTCATTTATCAAGCTGATACATGTCCAATATGTGCTGTGTCTGTGATGAGTTTGGTTGCCTCCATTAAAATAACAACAAAACTTATGACTTTGTTTTATTTTTCAAGCGTTATTAAATAAATAAATACACCCCGGATAGCTATGACAAGTGGCCATTTTTTCCAGAGTCTTCGAAGGCATTACCCCAGCAGCCTCGCCGCCGCACCTCTCAGGTGTCTGTCGGCCGGGCGGCTTCACTGTCAGCGGAGTCGGTGGAGACATGAACGCGCGGCGGCATGGCGGACAGAGAGAAGCGGAAAGCCACACCACCGTCCGGCCGCAGCATCCAGGTGAACTCTCCGGCCAGCTTCAGGTAAGAAGAGTCTGAATAGGGGTGCTTGTGTTTTCACCGAGCTGGCTTCTGTGCGCTAGGGGCAAATCGGGTGAGACTGCAGAGTTGATGGGTGCTGATGTTCGCAATACGGATCCGCCGCTGCAGCAGGAGGAGCAGCGTTAGTCCCTTTCTTCGGAGCTTCGGCTTTTAGGGAAGCGTCTTTTGATTTCGGGCGTGTCTGGTCCCACAGGACTGAGACGGAGCGGTGTTGCTGCACCTTCACAGAGCATATGTCGCATAACCTACTTTTTCTTAATCTGATCAGACCTCTAAATCTCTGCAGTCTTTAAAATAACAGCATTTCTAGTGGAAGTGCTTTGACTTGAGCCCATTTGGTTCTTTTTTTAAATAAACTGTTTTGTCTGACATTTGTTTAAGATAGCTTTGAAGTTAAGATGACATGATTTTACAAAGGGCATCTCTTATTGACATGCCACTATACTGTGGTGTTGGTATATGGTTCACCTTTACACAATCCTGATTCTACAATTTTACTATGTTTATTTTTCTATGTCGTAGTTTGTTGTTCAGGTTTTTTATTTATTTTCATGTGGCTGAACATGGATGGATCTTCTATTGCACAAATTAAATTGATAAGCTGCTTAAACATAGAAATGAAAAAATAATAGATGTGACTGGCTCAAGCTGATTAAACATACAGATAGACAAGCTGAAATCAGCTGCATGCTGTTGCTTCATGAACTCTCATATAAATTCAGAGGTTATAGTTATGCCTGTGGCCAAAGCTACACTCATTAAGTACCATTACTTTGTGGCTGAAGGTACTTTGATCAATATTCCCCAGCGAGATAACAACAGAAACTCACCCTCCCTCAGGCTTAGGCTTTTCCCATCCCAGTATTGTCCACAAACATGCAAGTCTCTCTGCTGTAGAGACTTTCTTTACAACAGTGGTTGTACTCATTGTCTGACTAGCAGATAATTATTTAAATCAAACTAAATAAAAATGTGCTTCCATTGAGTTTAACCATTTGAAAACCAACAACTTCAGCATAGAAATAAAAAGCAATCCATAGACAAAAGGGATTTGTCATAAAACCTAAAAAGAAATCTGTGGGATAATCAAAAAGATTCAACAGATATGAATCACACTGAAAACGGGATTCTGTGTTTTCTTCTTGTGTTTGTGATCAAAGGAATGTTTCAGTGGTGTTCCTGACATGAAATGAGGCCAGAAAACAAAGTCAGGTTTGGACTGGTCCCAGATCAGCCATATGCTGGCATGTTTGTTTCCGTGACATGCTTCCCCTCACATGCTGTGCTTGAATTATCAATTCCTCTCCTACTTGCTGATGTTAAAAACAGGGCAACCACACTGCTGCAATTGCAGCTCTTATGCTTGCTGTATTTATTGTCTTACATGTGGGAGCAGTTCCACTTTAAGCTGAAAGCATTAGTTTTATTAGGGGTTTGAATACAATAACATTTTTAGTCAACAAAGTCAAGGTGCAGCAAAATACATTTCTACATAGTCAAATAACATATCTACTCCATAGTTTTGCAAATGCATCTTGCATATTTAAGCTGAGGTTTTGGGGGAAAAGGAGCTGAAGCTACAGTCTTGATAACCAAACCAAAAAAGCAAACTGTGTCGTTTGTTGTTTAGGTTGTTCGCCTAACAACCGAGGTCTCAGTTCGGTTGAAGTGAACTCTGGCATGGTTCAAAAGCATATGCAAGCGGACCAGAAATCACTCCAAAAGCAGGAAGCAAAGTATAACGCAAGGCATTCTGGGTCAACAGAGCCAAAATAAATGTGTAATTCTAGCACTGTTGGGAGACATGGCTTGTGGTATTTAACCAGAGACAGAGGAGAAATCCTACAACCATTAAAATCTTACAGTACTCCATTATTGTTTGCACTTTGTGAAGAAGGAAGTTTGTTGGAAAAGCACTGAATATACTTTGGGAAGTAAATAAAGCAGTCATAAAAATAGAAGAAGGAGGCCTTGGAAAAACATTTAGTTTGTGTCAAGAGACATCTAGTGGTGAATGTTGATAAGTGCATTCTTATTGAAAACTGCGCCACTCTTTTACTCGTCTGTTACGAACCGCACATGTTAAGCTGGAGAAGCAGCTCAAGTTGTGTGCATAGCTTACAAAAGTAAGTTCAAACTAATAATAACTGCATAGACAATTGTCGTGTGTTTTGCCGCTGTAGATACGCAATGTTCAATTTGGGTTTGATATTAATTATTTGTTCTGTAATATGTTTGCTGGTGGGTGCTACATGCTAAAGCTAACCGCATCAGGTGCAGCGTTTGCATTTTAAACACTGTTAAGCATCGACGTTATGACTGTTTAAGCTTTGGTCATAATACGTTAATCATACTGTGAAGATGTAAAGGTCGAAAGTTTTTATGCCAAATAGTTTTACCAATGCAGAGAGCATGCATTTCTGATTTTGTTTATTTCGTTCTTTTATAGACCACACACAAACATACACTCTTATGTATTCAGGCGTAACGTGAAGGCTGCTGTGTGTCATTTGTCCATAATCAAAAAACATAAACTATATACAGGCTTCCTGTCTGTACTCCTCATCGACACCCCGAGGTGGATATCAACAGCAGAAATTCATAGGTATCGAACTTATTTTGCCTTAGGGCGTTTGAACCTCTTCGGGGGTTTTGTGTCGTTTCCTTCAGTAGTTCTTGGTGCAGCGCCACCACAGACAAGGAGGTGAACATGATTTTTGGAAGGATTGGATTATTTGACAGTGCTGTGTGAAAGTGAACCGCACTTAACAAATGTTAATTTTGCCTTTGTGAGAATATATATTTAGATTTTTTTTAGATATCCCCAGTGCAAGAAACTCTTATCCTGTACATATTACTCATTATAAGCAACATCAACCAGTTCTACCATTCAGATATTCTTTCATTGCGTGACCAAACTCTGAAGTGATTCATTCAGTCTTATCTGTAAGAATGTGGCTTGGCAGCACATCAATACGTACAGGACCATGATGCTGAAACATTCCATTTTCCAGAATGCTTTTTTTTAAACTTTTATTACCTTTATGCGAGAAATGTTTTCAGGATCCTTCAACAGGATTGAATTGTAATTGTCTGGCTCTCTCGTATTTAAAGATAAGCAAGGATGTAAATTAAACTGATTTGAATTTCACCCTCAGCAGGAATTGACACCCTGGACAGTAATTGTATTGGTTGCTGCTCCCCTCTGCTGATTATTTACTGCTGTCTGTTTAATTCTGCTGACCAGACATGTATTCTCAGACAGCACCGCCCTTCTGTGAATAAACCGCAGGTCTACTTTGTCTCTATCTTTTGCAAAAATAATCTATCCCCCACATATCTTTGTTAATTGATATTAAATGTGGGCAATTTGAACAAAATTGACAAATTCTGGATCAGCTCATTTGTACTTTCTAGATTGAGATGGCTTTAAGTAGGCATATATTTTAAGGAGATACTAACATACTTGAAGGGGACCCACTTGATGTAATCACAAGCTTTTGTACAGAGAGGCACAATGAACTCAGCAGAGCATGAAATAGGAGCTGCCACATGATGTGGTAGGTTGTGTAGTCAATCCTTTCTGCACACCTCATTGAGGTTATATAATTTTAATTGTAAAGTAATTTAAGAAGTGTTAAAACTTCACACTTTCATGCAGCTCCTGCATATTTTCTGTGGGTTGGGGTTCAAATCGAAACACATTATTACTTTACCTATGAAGCTGCGGCAATGGAACAAGGGGCTTTCAAATGTACCCTTTAATTGCTAATTTCTATATGGTAGATTTCAATCATTTTTTAACATTACAAAAAAGTAATTTAGTAAGATAGCTACTTTATTAGTAAGGGATTTAAACTGCTTGCTTTTAATGCCGATTATTTGTGTTACACTTAGTAGTATTCAGACATAAAGTTCCAAAAACCTTGATAACGGCTACTCAATTAGAAGGGTGAAGTAAGATATTGTCAGTAGACATAATATATCTAGTTAACTTTCAATACTTAGAGAGTAAATCATTCTTCAAAATGCTGTAGTTCAGGTGAGTTGCTTTCACTACCTGCAGTTTTCCCCACCAGATAGTGGTTTCAGTTAAACCGCCATTTAGTTAAACCATCTGGTGGTTTAACTAAGATAAACCACCAGATGGTGATTTAACTAAAACAGTATTTTAAATATATCCTATAAAACATAAGCATAAACATTTAAACATATCACAAACAAGCAGCAGATTCTAAGGGACAAAGGACAACTACTTCTAATACAATATTAAATTGAAGACAGATGACAGAGTACTTGAGTACTTTAAGATGTTATGCAATAAAAAATAAACGAGTTTACAATCTGAAGGACAGATTTTGTCAAGAGAAAGAAGTACAAAGTTGAAATTACTATTTTTTTCCTATTCTTAAATCTATGATGCCTGAAGCTTATTTAAAATACAGAAACAGTAACAAGAAGGAAATAAACTTTGATTATTAATGTTGGCCCAGTTTGAATTATGGGATTGATACCAAAATGTAAAAAAAATGACATGTCTGATATAATAATTCTGAAACTTTTTGTCTTACTAATTTGGTTTCATTGAGCTGGTTAATGTTTCAGACTAGCGATTAGACAAATTAGGCCAATATTTGGAGGTTTTATAACATCATTCCTGTCCAAGTACATTTAGCTCATAACCAGGGAGTTGAATGTTTGATTAACAAAGTGTTTTGGGGTTTTTTGGATGGTATTTTTGTGAAAATCTCTGTAGCTTTTTGAAAACAGTTGTCATGGCTTCATCTGGTGTTTTGGGTGGACTGTTGTTTTTGTCATATGGTTTTTTTCCACATGACTTTAAAGAAATTTACATCAGCGTAACATACCAACAAATACAAATAGATTGCTTAGTTAAAGCTGCCATAACAAATACGTTGGAGGAAACACACATAGGTGCTATAAACCAGTGGTCGCCAACCCCCGGGCCGTGGACCGGTACT